GGGGGGGGGGGGGTGACAGGCAACACTCAGTGAGCACATGTGTCATCATGGGAGTCATGGTCTGCGCTGGGGCAGTGCATTCAGCCCTAAAGGTAGAATGGCTCAGGTTGGAAGGTCCAGAAGCCTCTGCTTTTCCACAGTTGGTTCCTGTGTGTGGGCAGAGACTCAGGTATGGATGCGATTAAAACCCACCCAGTCATCTCCCTTATCCTCAGCACTGGAATACATACATACATACATACATACATACATACATACATACATGTATATATGCACATATATGTGTGCATACATATATACATATGTACATACTCGCGTGTGTATGCATATATACATGTGTACATGAATGCATGCGTGTACATATATACGTATATGTATACACACACACACAGAGCACCCAATTCTCATCACAAATCCACCTCCAGCCACTCCTTCCCTTCCCAAACTCATCAGCTCCCCTGACCTTAGGCCCTGTGACACTTTTAGGTGACCAGAACGGGACCATCTAAGCCACACACAGAGCTAGAATCAGGACATCTAAGCCCATAGTTGGGTTACATATTGGCGCTCCTAAAGAGAGACTGCACATCTGTTGGAGTCCAGCGGACAACCCTGTCGGTCTATGACAGAGAGCTGACTTCTCCCAGGCAGAAACCGGCGAGGCAAAGTGTACCATCCTGGACAGATCTCTGTGCAAGGGCCCCTATAAGCAGCTACCTCAGTAGGTGCAAAAGAAATTATACAGGTTCCAACAGCTGAAACCTAAGCGAAACTCCTACCCTTGTGGATCTGATATCCTGGAAGAGGTAAACCGCGTACTTCAGTCAACTTTCAACTAACTTCCTGCATGTCAAAAGTTCTCCCGGCTGCACCCCAAACTGACTCCACAGACCATAAAGACAAGGGAAGCAAACGGCATCAAGATACACAGCTAGACCCTGGGACCGGAGCACTGGGGGCAGGCTCTCCCAGCTCCTGCGCAGGCTGTACCTGTCCAGGTCCTCAGAGCATCCCAGGCACGAGCCAGCCCTGCCCCTTCTGGACTCTCTCTCCCAGGATCCTCTGGTCAGCCGGGAGGTGGGGCGCGGCCGGGAGGGAAGGGCTGGCACTCACTCACTTACCAGCAGCTCCACGCGGCTGCCGGGTCAACAAGAGGAAGCCGGTGAGGACCTGGCGGGCTCAAGGCTGCAGCATGAGTGCGGGCCTTCTGGGTCCTCCCTGTCATTTAAATATCCCCTCGTGAGTCACCGCAGGGGGCAGTGTCGGCCTGCGGGGCGGGGCACCCGACTCTGGCACATCATCAGGGAACTGCGTTCAAGCTCAAGCGGTGTTCATCCACTGAATTGGAAAATAAGTTTCTCTTCCCCCCTCCCCCGCCCCGCCCTTCCCCATCTCCGAATTTGTACTCTGTGTCCAATGTGATGCTGGAAAGGGGGTTTTTCTGCCTCTTCGTTGAGTCCGAGTGCCTGAGACTGTACTTGCCTGAGGCACCAGCCCAGGAGTGGTCCAAGTCCTGTTTTCTGTGGCCTTTGAGTCCATTCTCATTTTCCTTCTCCTCTCCCCTTCCCTTCTCTTCCCTCCCCCCTAATTCTAAACTTTGTAAATAGAAATAGCTCCTATTTTCCAGAAAATATGCAAGACCGATATAAGGAATATTCAGATACTTCACCCAGTTCCGCCGCTGCTAACATTTTAGAAAAGACATTTATTTTAAGTTCCAAGGAAGAACATAATTTTTTCCGCCATGCCTCTTCCGAAAGCAGCACTTCATGTCCCTCTGAGGCCATCTTCCCTGGACTGTGACAGCCATGGAGGTGGTGACTGAGATTGAGGTTTCTCCACACCTCCCGCCTCTGCACCACAGCCACAGTCTGAGCCTGTCCTGCTGCCCCTACTCTGGTAAGGAACCAAGATATTGTTTCTCTTCAAGGTGTCCCCCGCCCAGAGAGATTCTGGGGAAGAAGATAGGGGTGTCACCGTTGGGGAGGGGCTTCACGACCCTCAAACAAAGCAGGAACCACTTAGAGACCCAAGGTGACTTGGCTCAGTTCACCTTCTCCACCAAGCGGCGAGAGCGGTGTTTGCACCCAGCACCTGGTGGAACGCCAAGAGCCTTAATTAATGTTTGCAGGGTGCTTTGAGAGCTGCCATGAAAGGAGGACATAAAAGTGCCGGGTTATTACTGAGACAGTCATTTGGGTGCTCAAGCCCCACAGCCTGAATCACGCCTCACCATGGCACCATGAATCATGGCCAGAGACAAGTGTCCTGGCTGTTAAACAAGGAGCCCGGGAGCTCGGCCACCACACCCCCAGCCCCAGCTCTCTGGCCCCAGCCTCCTTTCC